AAAAAAAAAAAAAAAAAAAAAAAAAAAAAAAAAAAAAAGAGGTGTAAAGTGTGTGAGATTGAAAGACATAAGAAGACTGTTTGGGGTTGGTAATACAAGTTAAGATAGAAAGTGAATTAGGTACAATGCTTTGGACTCACCAAGACAGGCTAGATAACTGTTTATACTTAAGATTCTATGATCTTTATTTAGTAAAGAGGAATAATAATTATTTCAGCACTACTCCAAACAAAAATGATTAAAAATACGGGACTAAGTTTTCAGAAGGCATGAAATGGTAGCAGACTCAGGTTTTCAAATAATAGAGGACTATGTCATAATGCCCACATACCACTCAGTGCTCCAACTGCTCCGAAATTCAAGGATTTCCCATCCATTATGCTGGCGTCACACTCGATTTCTCCTAGGAGATTCAGATTAGATCCCATTCCTGCATTTGTAAACGGAGAATCCTGAAAAGCAAAAACGAATTTAAATACTATTAGCCTTAAAAATGCATTAATGTCAATCCTTCATAAACCCTCCAAAAACTAGAAGGTAAGGGAATACTTTCTAAGACTCAGGCAATGTCAGTACTTCTCTGATGACAAAGGACAAAAATATTATGACCAAAATTAGAAAAAAAAATTATACTTTGTAGATGCTAACATCAAAATCATTGAAGAAACAAAAGCAAACCAAATCCAGCAGAATATAAACAAGTGTTTATTTTATATCATGAACAAGAGGGATCTCAAGAAACAAGTCTGGTTTAATATCTGGAAAGAAAATCAATCAAAATACCACATGTTAATAAAATAGGCATGTCAGGAGATATAGGGAAAAGACATTTAACAAACTACGAAACCCTTTTATAAAAACAATAAAAAAAAACACTAAGTAACCTAGAAACAGAAACCAACATCCTTGCCATGATAAAGGAAACCTAAAAAAGTCCAGCTAATATTGCAAAATGGGGAAAAAAAGAAATCCTGAATAATTTTCCCTAAAAATTATCAAAAAATTATAAAAAATTATCAAAACACAAGAGAAATATCCGTTCTCACTACTTCTTATTCAACAAGATGCAAGAAAATCACAGCAAGACAATTAGGCAAGGAAAAGAAATAAAGAGCAACTAAACTAGAAAGAATCAAGTATCGTCTCTTTTGAAAAAAGAGAGAAAGTAAACAAAATCTTTTTAGCATGAGTTACCTGTACAAAATAATAGGTTATGATAGGCCATGTAGCTTGAACTACATGAGACCTTGTCTCCAAAGGATGAGAAAAATGTTAAAATAGGGCCATAATGAAAATAAGTTTATGGAATCTGGAATGGTGACTCGTGCTTAAGAGCACTTGTTGCTCTTGCAGAAGTCCCAGGTTAGATGCCTAGCACCAACTTGGTGCTTCACAATGACTCGCAACTCCTGTCATTGGAAAGGCAGGAGCCTCAATTGAGAAAATTCCTCCATAAGTTAAGGCTGTAGGCAAGCCTATACCTGTAGGCATCTTCTTAAATAGTAATTAGTGGGGGAAAGCTCAGTCCATTCTGGGGGTGCCATTCCTAGGCAGCTGGTCCTGGGAGAAAGCAGGATAACCAAGCCATAAGGACTAAGCCAGTTAGCTGTTCCTGCCTCCAGGTTCCTATCATGTTTGAGTTCCTGTCCTGATTTCCTTCAGTGATGAACAGTTGTAAGAGAGCAGAAGCCAAATAAACCCTTTCCTCCCCACATTGCTTTGGTCATGGGGCTTTATCACAGCAATAGTAACTATGAGACAAATCTAACTAAGACAGTGTACATCACCACAGTCATCTTACTTCCTAATCTTTGTTATTAATCTGCCCCACAGAGCATAAGCCCCTTTATCTTTTCGGGGGTTTTATTCCAGAGTTTAAACCAATGTTTCATCCACACATTGTAAAAACTTGTAGAATGACTGAATGGAAGTCATTATAATTATAACTAGGTAAAATAGAATAATTATTATTGTGAACTCTCACCCTTGAGCCAGCTAGATAATAATTCTTGCATGGCATTCTTACAGAGAAACTCAAAAAAAATAGCAATATTCCTTTGAAAAAAAGGACAGAAGAAGCACCAAGCCAGGTGCTTCTAACATGACAAGGAAGCTTTTCCTACAGCAAACCTGGCAGCTTCCAGCCAAGGCAAGGAGCTACAACACATACTTTTTCACTAAAACCACAAGCTGCATTACCCACTTAGTATCCTTTGATAAAAGCAAAAAATAAAGACAGTTTGCACAGTTACAGGGTATACCATACCTTGGGAGATTCATTATGTGACCTCTATTAACACCTCTTACAAATGCAAACAATTAAGTTTTCAAATATACAAAAACAAAACTAGCATAATATAAAATCATTTTGTATAAAATGATGCTATCTGTCCAGTCTCTTTTATTCCTGTTAGACTATGTCAGATGTCTACTGACAGATCACTAATACATTAGTGTTCACACTCTGTCTCAAGTGCAAATGCAACAAGCACATCATAAGGTGGATGAGACAAATATACATTTTTATCCATACATGATGAAGCATTCCATTGAAATGATTTAATTACTGTCTCCAATGACAAGCAAGTGATTGATCTTAAAGTAACAAGCGGGAAATAGTCTTAAAACGAACTTTCATGAATCTTTCTAGGTAAGAGTAATAGGGTATATAAATATAGCTCAGTGACATAAAACTTGCCTAGTATATACAAGACCCTGAATTTGATCCCCAGTATAGAAAAAAAGTAATAAAAATGGGTGCTTTTCCTTCACGGCTTTCTTCAATTTCAAATGAGAAAAATGCAGCTCCAGACTAGTCTGAGCTACATAGTGAGATCCCATCCCAAGCGAGGAGGGCAGGGGGATGAACAAAAACATTAAAAAATGAAGTATGCCTATCTTAGCCAAAACTATGCCAAGAATTATTACCTCTCTGTTATTTCCTTATTGGTTCATAATATCTGCAGGATGAAGAGTGGCAAATGAAACTAAGTTATGACAAAAACAATCAACACACACAATTCAAGGACATATTTAATAATCAATTAAGCTCAAGTTTTCAAGAACTAAATGATTGAAGGTTTTCCACTTAAATTCCTTTGTGTTAATATAGGTTAGCATTCACTCATTCAACAAATATTTATTGGCTGCCTATTGCCAGACAATTCTTTTGCTGTAAAAGGTCAGATATATTAAATGATTCAGACTTGTGGACCACACAATGCTTTAGCTACTCAACTGCCACTGAGGGACAGAAGCAGCCAGAAAAAATACACAAATGAGTGAGCAAGGCTGCATCACAAAGAAGTTGCAGTTTGTACCCTGAAATTTGAATTTCATATAATTTTCTAATATCATGAAATATTGGTTTCCTTTTGATTTTGTTTCAATCATCTTAAAAACTAAAAACCATTAAAAGTTTACAGACCATCAGAAATAGGCAAAGAGCCCATTTGGCTTTTTGACCCATTTGCTAAATAGTGAGTAAATCTTAGGGCTTATAGCAATACACAAAACAGAATACAGTCTTCCCGACAAGAAGCCTCAGTCTCAGCTATAGGAGGCAGATGCCTTCAGCAGCAGAGCACATGCTTAACACTGTCAAAGCCCTGGGTTCCACACTCAGTACCAAAAAAGGGGAGAAGTTGGCAGGGTGGGAAGGGAAGGAAATAGATATTCTTTGGTATCTGAAGTGAGTAAGTTTCATAAAAACCCCACCACCAGACTGGGTTACACAGTGAACTGTCTCAAAAAATCAGAAATAATATGAAGCATAATGGCCCATGCATATAATCTTAGCACTCGTGAAGGTGAAGCAGAAAGAGCTCCATGAGTTCAAAGACAGCTCGGCTACATAACTAACATAATGTAGTTGTTACATTGAGGAATGACAAGGAAAACCACATGTTCAGTACAGATGCAAATTTCAGTTGGAATGTTTTTGATCTGCACCTACAAAAATTGAGAAATCATGACTATGTAGACTGATGATAAATTGGATGACATAACATACAACAATAAATATAATAACGCAAATCTAAAATAGAAGATAGGTAACGGTCAGAAAGATAAACAGGGGAGTCAAGTAAGCCACAAAGGTGTCCATAGTTTAGTTTTTATTTGGTTTCTTCTGACATTATTTCAGACTTAAACCTACAGTATAAACCAATATCCAAGAGGCAACAAGATGGTTCAGTGGGTAAAGACACCTGCCATCACGTCTGTCAACCTGAGTTCAATACATAAATCCACGTGGTGGAATGAGAGAACTGACCTCACAAGCAGCCTGCTGACCTGTAGATGCCATGGCACATGTGTGTTAATGCACATAATAAAATAAAAAGGTAGTTTAAATTTCAGTAATCCAATAACCAGAATATATACAATTCTTCTACAACCATGAAGGATCAGAAAATAAAAATTATAAATCAGCATAAAACATGAAGTGACATCAACAAGTATTTTCCCAAAGACATACAAATGGCCTACAAACACGTAAAAATATGTTGGACGTCATTTCTATTAGGGAAATAAAGAAACAATGATGAAGTACTGTAGAGGTAGTTTGAATGTAATTGGTCCCCATAAACTCATACGGAGTGGCATTATTAGGAGGTGTGGCTTTGTTGGAGTAGATGTAGCCTTATTGGAAGAAGTGTGTCACTGTGGAGGCAGGCTTTGAGGTTTCATATACTCAAACAATGCCCAGTGTCTCAGTTTACTTCCTGTTGCCTTTGGATCAAGATGTAAGAACTCTCAGCTCCTTCTCCAGCATCATGTCTGCCCGCATGTTGCCTTGCTTACCAACGTGACAATAATGAACTAAAACTCTGAATTGTGAGTGAGCCACTCCAATTAAATGTTTTCCTTTATAAGAGTTTCCATGGTCATTGTGTCTCTCCACAGCAAAAGAAACCCTAAGACAGGTACCAATTCTCATTCACAAGGATAGCTTCAGTGACAAGGGCGAGGGAGGGTGGGACGGACCATAATAACTTGGATGCAAAGCAATTCTCACAAATTATTACTACAATGAAAAATGGTTCGTTCTGTAGTTATGGAAAACAGCTTAATAGTTGCATAAAAAAAAGTTCAATATAGAATTAACACACGACCCAGAAAGTCTATGTATAGGTAAATATACAAAGAAACTAAAATTAAGTTTTCAATATTTGTACAGGTACTATTCACATCAAGGGTATTCCCAATAGCCTAGAGGTGGAAACTGCTCCTAGTCAACAGTGAATGAGTGGATAAAAGTGCTGTGGTATGCACAACAATGCTGACTAGGTCTGCAGAAAGAAGAATGGAGTACTGACAGATGCTGCAGTGTGGAAGTCTCAAAAGCATTGTACTTAAGTGGGAGGGTAGGCACAAAAGCTATAATTTAAGCTGTATGAATTATCCAGAAAAGATACTTTCATAGAGAGAAACAACAGACTATGAGTTGTCA